CTGTCGGAAGGGGCTGTCTGCGTGATCCTTGTCCTAGCATTTTATTTTGGAAGCACATAACCTGTTTTGATTTCACAGTCTCACAGCTGGGGGAGAATTTGACTCAGGAGAAATCACACCTCAAGTTGGACTCCTGTCTGATTTACATGAGATAGACTGTGTACTTTGGAATGAGTTAAGACTTTTGGGACTGTTGGAATGGAATGGATGCATTTTACATGTGAGGAGGACATGAATTTTGGTGATGAGGAGTAGACTGCTGTGGTTTGAATGTGATCCTCAAGGTTCTTGTGTTGAAAACTTAGCCCCCCAAAGCAACCGTGTTGAGAGGAAGATTTTAAGAGGTGACTAGTTGTGAGAGCATTGCTCTCATGAACAGTGTTGTGGAGTGGATCGTTACCACCAGAGTGGGTTCAATTTGTGCTTCTTTTTTTTTTTTTTCAGCACTGGGATTTGAACTCATGCTTGTTAGGCAGGGACTCTACCACTTGAGCCACTCCACCAGCGGAGAGTGGGTTCATTACAAAGGCGAGTTTAGCCCTTTCTTACTCTCTCACTCCTGGGGTTCTGTGTTCCTCCACAGGTAGAGGTAGCACAAAGACTCTCACCAGACACCACCTCTTGAGAAACTTCCCAGCCTCCAGAATTGTAAAAAGATAAATTCTGTTCATTATAAATTACCCCCTCCGTGGTATTTTGAAACAGCAGCACAAGTAGGTTAAGACAGTAGCTCTGGTACATTTCCTTCATTATTAACTATTGTAGGTTTGTTAATATTTAGCAATCAACTCTCAAGAGAGAATACAGTCCTGATTTGTAGCATTCACCAATCACCATGACTGATATCAAACTAACATTTTTAGCATCCTGTTTGCAAAATTCCTAAAAAATGTAACAACTGGCTCTGTGAACTGTAAAAGTTGGTTTTACTTCTGAGTTACCATGATGCACCTGACTAGACTTCATCAAAAGAAAAGAGAGAGCTATAGGTTCTCTTTGTTAGTTACTGTGCATATCTTGACATTTGTCAACCCAGGCCAACCTCCAACAAACAAACAAGAAGAAAACACAGAAATAGGTTCAGGATTTAGTGGAAATTTTGGATGAGTGTGATAAGGTGCAAAAACACTGAAGAAATCGGTAATTTTTGTTTTACTAGGTCTCCTGCTTTGAAGAGAATGTAAATAAATACTTAAGCATTTAAAGAATTTTAAAAGTTGCGCAGTTCTGTCATAATGTTTTGGAAAACAACCAAAAAGTAGAAGTGAGTTACTGCTTTAAGCAGATCTATTCCATTTGATTTATATAGAATTATCTTTTTGTTTTTGCTGAGTTTCATTAGAGCAATTAAAAGAGATACTTTACCTAGATTCAGCAATGGAGAGTAGAATCCCAAAAGATATAAAATAGTCTGGCTCTCTCTCTCTCTCTCTCTCTCTCCTTCTTTCCTTTTTTTTCCCTGAGACCACCTTAATGTGCCCTTGAAGTTTGGGTTTCTTCTAGTTTTTGGTTGGGAAACTGGCAGGACAGAAGGCAGTTCTGTTACCTGGCCAGTGCCATTCTTCTTGGGCTGGGTGTGGAGTCATGGAGGCCGCTTCTGGAGACATTGAAACAGAGAGGCTAAAATTACAGGGCCTACGATGTTCTTCCTGACAGTGCTTTAGCTTCTTTTGCCGGCCTCGCTACTGAGACAGTAATTGTATGCGTGTGCACTGCCTCTATACTTTTAATTTTAAGGCATAGTCTTAAGATTTTTTAAGTGAGAAAAAGTGTTATTTATGTTAGCGATTGTATCCTTCGGTGCACAGGAAGTTGATGCATACATGCTAAGAAAACTTCCTATACTCCACATTGATCTAAAGCTTTAGTTTTTCCTTGCAACCAAGGGATTGATTTATGATTGAAGGTTGAGGTATTAAGACCAGTAAATTATTATACATTCCAGAATGCAAGAGTGAACAACTGTGCTTCACATCTGACTTAAAAAAAAAAAATTGGCCTGGCGCCAGTGGTTCATGCCTATAATTTCAGCTACTCTGGAGGCAGAGATCAGGATTGAGGTTCAAAGCCAGCTGGGGTAAATAGTTTGTGAAACCCTATCTCAAAAAACCCTTCACAAAAAAGGGCTGGTAGAGTGGCTTAAGATGAAGGCCCTAAATTCAAGCTCCAGTACTGAAAAAAAAAAAAAAAATTGGGCTGGGAATGGGGCTCAAGTAATAGAGCCAGTGCCAGGCCCCAAGTTCAAGCCCCAGTACTGCAAATACATAAATAAACTCATTCAGGGAAAATTTGAAACTGGAAAAGGCATTAGTTAAATGTTTATAACACAAAGACATTATAAGAGCACCGTTATTAGTATCAATTTTTAAAAAGCTTAAAAAGAAATTATAAAAGGGACTCCGATTTGCAATACATGATAAAATACACAAAAGAAAAAAATAACAGTGCAATGGCTTATTATAGACCAGAGTCCAATCAGAAGAGAATATGTACTCTTAAAAAGTATTTTCCATAGTTAAAAAGATACAGTATAAAAACTGTTTCAAGTGCAAAAATTTCTGTCTTGGTAATGTTAGTTCTTTAGAGTTTTCTCAGAAGAGTGGTTCAATTGTAAAAATATGTGGGAAAGTTGAAAAATTATTTCCTTGATTCTTTCTTAGTGTTGATTACCTTATAAAATATGCAATATGAAATAAAAACTCTGTAGCAACTCATTGCCAATAGGTCAAGTAGCAAAAGGTTGTAATTAATTTGACAGATTTTTGTATAATTTAATGATACAAGTTATGATATGGGAGTAGCATCTGGAATAAATAGTAGACCTCTGTCATACAAAAGAGATAGTTCTTTCAAGATGCTGAGTTATGTATTTATTTATTGTGGGGCTGGGGATTGAACCCAGGGCCTTGCACATAAGCACTCTATTGCTGAGCTCTGCCCTCTGCACCCCAGTCCTAGTTTTCACGTTTGCTTAAAAATATTGAAGTAATGCCCTGTGCCTGTGGCTCATGCCTGTATTCCTAGCTACTTGTGAGGCTGAAATAGGGAGTATCATCCCCCAAATAACCAGAGTAAAAATGGACTGGAGGTGTGGCTCAAGTGGTAGAGTACCTGTTTTGTGAGCATGAAACCTTCAGTTCAAATCCCAGTCCTTCCCAAAAAACTTGTAGTGAATTTTAATGAAATAATTTTTTAAATGACAAATAAGTGTTTAAAAGAGATTAATTTAAATTGGTCATATTAATCATACCTAAAATGTTACAGTAATGGAGGATAACAGAAATTTTATATAAATTTGAATATTAAGCTTGATGTCCCCCAATCTAGCTGGTTTTTTTTTTGAAGAGAAATGAGTTGTTTTAGTTGTGGATCCTGTTCTGAAACTTTGGAAGAACAGAAATGCTCACATTGGAGGTTAAAACTTTATGTAAAACAGTATGGTTTTAATGCCAATGGCAGGGAAGCATGTAATTTTGGCTTAAATTATGGTCCCTATGTCTTAAATTTTATTATAGTACTTAGACAATAAATCTGAGTCATGGAATGGTTCTAAATAGTGAGCGATCCACTTCATAAATATATTTTCATTTACTAATTAGTGGTACTTATGATTGCTAGCTACATTCCTGATGTGTAGGGAGGGGAGAGGTGGTTAGCACTGATAGCTGGCATGCAGAATCTTGAGGAATTCTGTTGGAAACATGCAGTATAGAAAAATATTAGAAAGTGTGGCTCAATCAGTGCTTAAGACTTTTTCCTGTGTGGTACATTGAGCATTTAAAAATTGGCCCTTAGCCAGCTGGAAGGGAGAATTTGTGTGCTAGTATCAGGCTAGCTCAGAGAAGGGTGGCACAGGGTTTGCAGGGCGTGGTGCTGCCGTGCCAGGAAAGCACAGGTTATTTGTCTGACTCCCAGAAGGAGTGCAGCTGGGTGGGGGCAAAGATTGTGGCTCAAGAGGCCGGGCACCTGTGCAGGCTGCAGGTGCAGGAGGAGGAGTTTCCAACTCTGACACTGAGCCTGTTGGGAAAACTTCTGAAGACACAGCCGTCCTGACTCACTGAGGAGCACCCCTGTAGTTGGTGGGACTGAGGGTGTGTGTGTTTGTGCGTACACGAGCCATTTACACTAGCACAGGTGTAGGGGTTGCCAAGCACACTGTGCTTGCTGGCGGCCTAGTCACGGGTTAGGCCTGAAGTAACTCTACAGAGGAAAAAGGAAGACGCCCACATCTCGGGCTGGAGATGCTGAGCTCTGGACAGGCTGCTGTTTGCCTGCCAGGGACACACCTGTCCCCCCACTCCCACCCAGGACTCCATCCTAGAAGTCACCTGCGAAGGACAGCTGGTTCACCTGCCTCCCATCTCTGTGGGAACGTCCCCAAACATTTACTGGATCATTTGCCTTTTTAGGGTTCCCTGAAAGAATTTACAATAAAACCGAAAGGGCTTTATTACTAAAAACAGAAACAGAGAACGTTGCATTCATTCACCTTTGACGTTCCAACTGTACGAATTTTAGTGACCCCAGGTAGCCTAAGGTGGAAATGAGAGATTGCCTTAAGCAAAAAGGTCGTTAACTAAAAAATTAAAATAAAACCTAAATCCTCAATCCAAACCCAAAGACGTGGATGAGGTTTCTTTGTCAGGGTGAGACAACAGGGAGAAGGGCGGGGGGGGGTGGCTGGAGCCGCTTCAATTACGGGGTCCAGGGTCCAGAAGCGGGGGGCGTCCTTCCCTTTCCTCCTCCCCATCTTGGTGCCGGGGATGGGGGTAGGAAGAGGGGAGACCGAGTGCCCGCGGCGGCGGGACCGCGGCTCCCGAGGGAACCACGAAGCGGGATCCGCAAGCCCATGGTCCTGGCCGGCCGCAGCCAGACTCGCAGTCTGCAGCGATCCCAGGGTGCACCGCGGCCGCCAGGCCCGCCTCCGCCCCGCCCCCCGGCACAGGCCACGCCCCTCCCCTCCCCGCGGCGGGAGGCGGGGAGGCGGGGACGCGGCGGCGGCTTCTCCAGTCGCGTCTTTCTCTCTCACTGGGAGCCCGGCGGTGGCGGCACCTTTCGAGGCACAGACGCTGAGCCGCGAGCCCGCCGGCCGCCGGAGAACGACGTCGGAACCTCCGGACGCACGGACAGCGGGCGGCCCGAGCGGCCTCGAGTTCCGCCATGAGCTGGGGCACGGAGCTGTGGGTGAGCAAGCGAACGCCGGGCGGCGGCGCGCTCGGACCCCGGCTCGGCGGGCGCGGGCCGTTGGCGGCGAGGGCGGCGGAGGGGTGTCCGGGCCTCGGCTCCCGCGGGCCGCCGCTTCTCTTTGTGTGCGAGGGTCGCGGGTGGCGGGTCCGCGCTCGCGCCTCGGGCTCCGCGGCGGGGCTGGGGCGGCGCCCGGACGGCGGACGCTTTTCCGACGCCTGGCTGGGCGCCGGCCGCTCCTCTCCCTTTGTATCTCCGCGCCTGGGGGCGGGGGAGGGGGCCATTGTCCCCACGGGGCGCTGTCCGCGGGCCGGAGGGCCACCGCGGCCTCGGGGAGGGACACGACCGGGCGGCGCCGCCCCGGCCCAGGTGCGCGGCTTTGTTCGCTGCCAGCCAGGCCCGGTCCGGCCCTGCCCGCGCCGCTTCCCGCCCGGGCCGTCGCCGTGTCGCCGGGTCGCCGCCCCCCCCCCCCCCCCCGCGTTTCGGGCTGCGGTGACCCGGCGGGCTGTGGGCCGGGCGGTACCCCGCCCTCCTCCCCGGCCTCCGCACAATGCCGGCGCCCAGGTGCGCGGACCGAGGTGCGGGGCGGGCCAGGTGCGGCGGGGACCCGGCACGGGGCGCTGTCCCCGTCGTCGCCACGCCCCTCTCCGTCCCACCTGTGCATATTTGCCGTGCCTTTGTTTGCGAGGAGCCGGGGAAACCACGGCAGAGCCCGGGAGACTGAAGTTTGAGTGTGTGCGCTCGGTCAGGGTGGGAGTGGCCGCAGATCGCTAAATGCCAGGGCGAAATGGCCTCTCGTTTTCACGATGTGGACTCGAGAGCTCACGCTGCTGGACACCTACTTCGTCAGCCGTCCCGGGAATCCTTGTAACTGGACAAGTGCTTGCCTGTCTGCACACACCGCCCCAAGGGAAAACACGGCGGAGCGCGCCCTATCCACCTCCACCCCCGCCGGTTCCGCGCAGCCCGGCCTTCCACCCGCGGGGAGAGCTGGAAGGAATCAGTCATGGAACGTCCTGCTCTGCGTTGGTTAGGATCTCAGGCATTACTGGTCCCTCCGCTTTTATCTGTACATTCTGTGATTGATTATAGGGTCATCAGTGGACGGAAGGGGTGTAGTTTTATTTCCCATTTTTGTAATGATCAGGTACTTTTGTTTTTGGTGCGAAAGTGAACTAGAATGTAAGCATAGTACTTTTAAAAGGTACAGTGGAGGCATATTTTTTAGATGTATGTTTTCATTTAATTAAAAAAAAATTTTTTTTCTTTTTTTGGGCTGTTCTCGACTTCCAAACCAGGGCCTGTGCTTGCTAGACGATGCTCTACCGCTTGAGCTACGCCTCCTATCCTTAAGATTAAAAAAAATTCACTTTGTTTCACACTATAGAAGAAGCTTTAAGAAAACTAAAATAGTCTAGGGAAGACTAAAATGTAACTTTTAAACTTTTTTAAAGAATTAAATATTAATGCATTCAGAAACAATTTCAGCCCTCAGTGTCTCTAGTGATTTAGTTATCCACTTTGACCATTTAAATAGTTTCTCAGCAATCTGAAAAGATAAACTGTAGGAGAGATGAAAATTTCTGTTCTAATTAAAAATTGTTTTATATCCTTTGGAAATTCTGAAAAAAAGATTTTTAATTTTTCTCTTAAAATTTTTTTTGGAGGCGGGGCTCAATGGCTCACGCCTGTAACCCAAGCTACTCAAGAGGCAGAGATCAGGAGGATTTCAGTTTGAAGCCAACCCTGGCAAATAGTTCATGAGACCCTATCTCAAAAACCCCTTCACAAAAAAGGGCTGGTAGAGTGGCTTAAGGTTGTAGGCCCTGAGTACAGTTAGAAAAAAAAAAAAATTGACGGTCATGGGGGATAGAATTCAGACCCTCGTGCACACTAGGTAAGCAGTCTAACACCGAGCTACAGCTCTAGCCCTTTCTCTTAAATTTTAGTAAGTCACATTTTAAAGTTCTTAGTAGTTTGAAGGCTTGAAGGAAACATTTATTAGATACTAAATATGTACAGCCCGCTAATAACTCGATATCTCACCCTTAGATAAGTAGAACTTAGGCTGTTGTTGGGAGTGGAATAAGCTTTGTGAAGGTTTGGCTAGATGTTCTGTTTTCACTGTTCTCAGTTTTGAATAAGGATGTTGTGCTTCCAAAGAAGTAATGTAATATGAACACCTATACTGTCTCTTAGCATTGAGAAATTGGAGGCTGGGAACATTCTCATCAAATTTTAAATTTAGAAATTAGTTTTCATATTATTTCATGTTTAGGGTCACATTACTGTCCCAAAAGTAATTAAACTGAAAATATGTGGGTACAAAAAAGCAGTTAAATACTCCTCTTGTAACAGTCAGTGGAATTTTGTTGCTATTTTACTGCTTCTTAAAGTCTCACATTAAATTTGAGAATTAAGGGATTCCACAGAACTGCTGTTCTCCTGGCATTGGGTGGCAGAATCAACAGTAATCTGCCAAGTGGGTTGTGTCAGACTTTTGTGTGTAGTGTGTGAGGGGGTAGGAATTAACTGACAATTTGCTGTGCTTTGAAGGACTTCCAGTGTTCCAAATGAGCATTTAAGTTAGGTAGTGAATATATCCAGTTCTAGAATCACAATTCTGCATTCTGTTGATCTGGAGAACACCAAAGAGATGACAGTATCTTCATTTTTTCAGGACACATAGTGGTCATATGGTAACGTCTTAGGTATTGTTATTGTGCTATTTCTTTATTATTGTAGAACCATTGCATCAGAAAGAAAGCTAAATGTGAATTAATGATTTCACAGGCACAGATTTTGTAATTATTAGCTCTTTTTTTGTACAAATAAATTGGAGAAGACCTGAGTTTAGTCAATGAGTTTTACTTATGAGAAGAAAACTTTAATTTTTTGAGAAGTCAGTTGAAATTCAACAGAGAAAAAAATGTATGTGTGTGTGGGTGTGTGTATACATGTTAAAAAATTATGGCTGGGAACCTCGCATTCAAGTGGTTTATGAAAAATTTTGTTGTTCACGGGTAATTTGGTCAGTAGTCTAGGAGTTAGGAGATAACTCCTAATATCACATATAATGTAGAGGGGCAAATAAACCTTTTTTATGCCTTAAGTGCCCTGGTCTATGCAATTGGCCCTTTGTTTTAATAGTGTGTAATTTAAAGGTTGATATTTTCATCGTATTATTAGCTAAGCAAAGCTTATGATAATTTTTTGTAAACAAATGAAAAATGTGGGTTTGTTGATAGATGAGGTAGATCCTTTCTGCCTCACCCTCAGTCTTAACCCTTTAATGTTCTTATCTTTGTTTTTAAAGCACTTTATATAATATTTCTTTCTTTGAGACAGGATCTCACTGTGTAGTCCAGGCTGGTCTCAAAATCATGATCTTTCTGCCTCAGCCACCCAAATGCTGGGAATACAAGCATGAGACACCATGCCTGGCTTAACATTCCCCGCCTTACTGGGTTTGAACTTGGCCTTGTGCTTGCTAGGCAGGCACTCTCACTTGAACCACTTTACTAGCCCTTTTTTGTATTGAATATTTTTGAGACAGGGTCTCACTATTTGCCCTGGCTGTCTTCTGGAACAAAAGAATTGAGTTCCATTGTAGAGTACTAGTTAGATCATATCTAATGTTAACTTCAGTTTTGTTTAACCTTTTTTAGAGGGTACTTGCCTACAGGAGGTAGACAAAGAAAGTTGCTTAATGTGAACAGTGTCACTTTTTCAAAGGCTGTGAAACTGTAAAAATTTCGTTTTGTTTAAAAAATAAAGCAGTTATTACATGTCTATTGTACTAGAAGCACTGTGTTATATATGGTGAAAATTGCTAAGGCAATTTTCCTGACCTTAGGAGATGAGTCCTTTTGAGGTGGTCCAGGTCAAGTATCACTTATCTAAATGCTTAACATCCAGTACAGATTTCCAATCTTTTCAGATTGTGGAATACTCAAATATACATAATGAATGTCTTTAGGATGGGACTCGATATACAGAAAAGTCATTTATGCTTTGATACTGCTATATACACAGCCTGAAGACAGTTTTAAACAACATGGTAGCGCACCTGTGTTTTGACTGTGACTTATCAATGAAGACTTTCCTGGGTGCCATCACATTGGCCGAGTTTCAGATGTTGAGATTAGAGATTGTCACCCTGCACTTTTCTATCTCTACAACAGTGTGGAGTGCCCTCTGTTAACTACATGATGTGAATGTGGCCTCTCTCTCAATGCTGCATGGTTTTTTTTTTTTTTTTCGTGTATTGGACATTGAACTGCTACCAGTTGAACCATGCATTCACTCACCCCCACACCCACCTTTTTTTTTTTTTTTTTTTTTTGGCTGTACTGGAGGTTGAACTCTGCCTTGTGCTTCCAAGGGCAGGTGCTCTACCACTTGAGCAATGCCACCAACCCTTTTTGCTTTAGTTATTTTGGAATGGGGTCTTGTCTTGCCCAGACCAGCCTGGACTGCAGTCCTCCTGTTTACACTTCCTGCATAGTTGGGATGACAGGTGCAGGACACCATGCCCATCTGTTGCTTGAGTTGGGGTCTCACTAACTTTTTGCCTAGGCTGACCTTGAACCACCATCCTTTTGGTCTTAGCCTCCCAAGAAGCTAGGATTACAGCCTTATGCCACCATGCCCAGCTTGTTCAGTGAGATGAGGGCTCGATAACTTTTCGCACTGGTTGGCCTTGAGCTTTTATCTTCTCCATGTCTGCCTCCAAAATAGCTGGGATTACAGGCATGTGCCTGGTTTACTAGAGTTACCTCTAGTTATGGTGTAAGTATTTATATCCTGCATTCCCCCTATTGGTAAAATTGTCCTGTTCAACCTTGTATTACAGATGTTATTGTTAATGAAAGAGGGTGAGAGTTGCCAAGTTACTTGCTCAGGTAATGATTCCAACTTGACTAAAATAAAGTGGAAGCTGGAAAGCTGCCCTTAGCCAGTATCTCCTTCGTGTTGCTACTTCCTACGTTACTTATGTC